TTAGCCATTTTATGAAATGAGAAAATATTAGACTGCCTTTAGAGTTCATTTTGACAGCCATTATTGTGGTTAAACCGTACTTATTATTATAATTAATTATACACAAATAATAGTGCTGATTAAAATATTCAAACGGTATCGTATTTGCATACAAAAAAAATAGCAACACTGCTATAAATACAATAGCATGGTTCTGCAAATACAATAAAAGCATGTTACAGAATGGTGTAACGTTACTATTGTAAACAAAATAAAATAGCCGTATTATAACACATTGTACCTCACAATCTAGTCAGCTGCCTAACTAACGTAACGTTTCATAACATTTGGTGAATTATATATTAAAACAAGAACATAATACAGATGTTGTCAAGCTGGATATCTCTCTGTTTTGACAAGCATGAGTTTGTGATCGCGTGAGATGCACGAGCTGGATGTCAGTCGCTCTTTCACCGCTAGCCGCAATGCTAACGACAAAACCGCCACTTACATCCTTCATAAACTCAATTTCTGAAGACTGTCTCAGCATACAATTGTAACTTCTAGTATAACCTGTTACCTATATCGCATTCAGAGCGTTAACGAAAAGAATATTGCTCTTTTAGTCTGAAAAAACAGCTCTTACCGTTCTGAAGCGAACCGAGCGCCATGATGAGTCCTACTGTTAACACGACTCCACTCGCTCGAGCGACAATGGTTGGCCAATCAGCACACAGTACGTCCATGGACGACTGTCCAATCAGATGAAAGAATCACGTACAGCGCTGTCCAATCAGTAAAGAGAATCTTTACTCCTTTACTATACCTTTTATTACTTTATTTTATCCACAGTTGCTTATTTAATAGATAACAAGTGGATGTGGAAATCATTTGTTTCTCTGTCTGTCTGTCTGTCTGTCTGTCTTTCTGTCTGTCTGTATATATATATATATATATATATATATATATATATATATATATATATATATATATATATATATATATATATATATATAAACACTATATATAGACAATATTCAAAAATGCACATGCCTAAAAAATATTGTATGATTTTAAAGAAAGCGTTTATTTTATGCATATAAAACTATATGTAAATGAATTCAAAAGTTCTAACTCCAACATCTACAAAATCATTATTTTAAGCAACACTGAAATTATTTATTATTTATTTATTGTTTATATAAATGCACACACATACACTCAAAAATGTTTGTTCAAACTACTTATTTAAAATGAGCTGAAAAAAACATAATTCTTGTGATTTTTTCAGAGCAACTTAATTGTTTCAGGTTCAATCCACTTCCATTTAAGTTAAACGATTTGTATAGGGACATCATTGAAATGTGAGCATTTTTTACAGTGTACACACAAGGACACTTATAACAAAATATTTATCTTTTTTTACTAAATGTTTGTATTAATATTAATAGTGCTAAGCATTATTTAAACAGTTAGATATTTATATATTATAGTGCTCAAGATTTCATACAACATATTACACAAACTCTGTAGTTATACATAATGTAAACATCGGACAGGTAATAATACACAACAAGGTTTCATGGGAAGATCATATTGATAGTGTGTAACAAGATAAAACAATGATTCTGTTTTTAGCACCGCCTTAGATCTTTTGGAGCATCGAAACAGATTTTTGAACATTCTTTTATATCTGTGCAGTGTTCTGGAGTATTGTAATTCTGTTATGAGTCTGTCTGCGAGTCTTAAAGTTGAAAAGCCACATTAAAATCTGTTCAAAGATAGTAGGAAAGCCTCTTGAGAAATTATAAGACCATTCAAGAACCTCACAAGGCTGGCATCATTTTGAACCCTAGTCGTGTTTAATCATGAATTTATACCATTATAATCAGTACAGGCGACGCAGTGGCGCAATAGGTAGTGCTTTCGTCTCACAGCAAGAAGGTTGTTGGGTCGCTAGTTCGAACCACGGCTCAGTTGGCGTTTCTGTGTGGAGTTTGCATGTTCTCCCTGCCTTTGCGTGGGTTTCCTCCGGGTGCTCCGGTTTCCCCCACAGTCCAAAGACATGCGGTACAGGTGAACTGGGTTGGCTAAGTTGTCCGTAGTGTGTGTGTGTGTGTGTGTGTGTGTGGATGTTTCCCAGAGATGGGTTGCAGCTGGAAGGGCATCCGCTGCTTAAAAACGTGCTGGATAAGTTGGCGGTTCATTCCGCTTTGGCGACCCGGATTAATAAAGAGACTAAGCCGACAAGAAAATGAATGAATGAATGAATGAATGAATAATCAGTACAGCCGGTTCTTATACACAGAGTACGCAAGCTTCATAGGGCCTCAACTCCAGAGTGGGGCACCATCTCGTTTTCACAAAAAAAAAAAACATTTATTTAATTACATATTAATAACAAGCAGAATATAGTTATAATTGATGCAGGTTGCAGCTCTATGACCGGGAAAAGACAACAGCAGTCTGGAGCCGAGAAGAGGAAAAATTTACATGATGTATCACTTGCATCACTTTGAGCTAACTAATGTCCATGAATCTGAAAAACATATTTTTCAAGTATATTAGTGAGGCTAACGGTTAAACTTCGCCACAACTGCACTAAATCTGCCTTAAGTGTTGCTGTTTTCTTTCAGTTTCTTGCTTTGCTGCTGTGCATTACACTTTAAACTATGACAGGACTTGAATTATGGTTCATTTACTAAGATAATCTATGACTTTTCGGTTTTGCCTCTCTTGCATGTAGCTGATAATCACACAAACTCAATTATTGTTATTAACTTGCAATACTTTACAATTCTGTTTGTGCACCAGCTACTGTACACATGCACTGCACTATTATTTCACTGTATGTATTATTTATTATTATATAGTTATTAAATTAAATTATATAATTATACAGGGAGGGCCATTTATATGGATACACCTTAATAAAATGGGAATGGTTGGTGATATTAACGTCCTGTTTGAGGCACATTACTAGATAAGAGGGGGGAAACTTTTCAAGATGGGTGGTGACCATGGTGGCCATTTTTAAGTCAGCCATATTGGATCCAACTTTTGTTTTTTCAATGGGAAGAGGGTCATTTGACACATCAAACTTATTGGGGATTTCACAAGAAAAGCAACGGTGTGCTTGGTTTTAACATACCTTTATTCTGTCATGAGTTATTTAAAAGTTTCTGAACACTTATAAAATGTGTTCAACGTGCTGACCATTGTGTTGGATTGTCAATGCAAGCCTCTTCTCCCACTGATAGCAACACCGCAGGAGAAATGCCAGCACAGGCTTCCAGTATCCGTAGTTTTAGGTGTTTGTCTTTGTTTATAGTTTTGTCTATTTCATTTCTTATTGTTGCTCTTGTTATTGCTTGTATCACTGCAATGACAGTAAAGTCTCTTCAGTCTTTATATAAGGGGATTGGTGTGTTTTTAATAGGCCAGTTTTTACATTTTTGTATGTTACAGTAAAAAATAACAAACATACTTCTATTCTGTGATTTCTGAAAGATCAATAGTATACGTTACTGGAAGCCACAAGCCAAAAAACATTTTTATTGCAGGAATTTATTAATGCTCATTACAAAGTTTTTGTTAAAAAAATACACGTATTAATCCTTAAAAAACACAAATGACTTTGATTTATTCTGACAGGAGGGGTCAGTTTTTGTCACCACAGATTACAGTGCAGGTAAAATTCATATTTTGGTTGTAGTTTAGACACATGAAGAGTTCTTGACTAGCCCATTGTTTTAATAGTATGTCATGAGTTTTTTCTTTAAATGACTAATTTCTTTTGTATTGTACATAGAGGTCAATGCTGAAGTTTGTCCCAAAAGAAGATGAGGTATCCTGATCCAGCACTGCTCCACAGGCACCAGGAGCTGCTTAACCAGGCAGAGGATTCAGCACTGAGGACTGGTCATCTCTATCGGTCTTAGTTTTTTTTTTATTTTTTTATTGTAGTATTTACAAACATAGTACAATAGAATACATCTCACAACAGTTAAGAACATAATAAAAATAAATAAAATAAAATGAAATAAATTCTTTCAGTTATACAATGTATAAACATGCCAGGGGTAGAAAAAAGAATAGGTAACATAATGATAATTATATATAAAAAATAAAAAAACTTATTCAATCAATCAAATGAAATTTACATAATGCCTCATATGTTTTTTTTAGCTTTTCTGTTTTTTATGTTACATAATGTAGTACCATATTGTTTAATCTCCTTTATAAAATGAACACAATTTGGCTTAGCTTTGGCCCATTTCTCGACATGGATATGGTATTTTCCAAGTAATATTATTAGTTGTATAAGAAAACATGTTTTGGAGTCAATTCCATCTTATACAAAAGCAAGTATGACATCAAATAACCCAATTTGTATTCGTGTACCAAATGTCCTTGAAATAAAGTTAGAAACATCAATCCAAAATAATCTTGAGTATACACATTGGAAAAAAAAGATGAGTAACAGATTCTTTAATAATTCCACAAAAATCGCAAAAGTTTTCTCTATCAACTCCAAATCGTTCAAATAATTCTTTTACATGATAAATTCGGTGTAAAATTTTAAATGATACCTGTCTTACTTTATTACAGGTACAGAGAGGGTTTATTCTTTACCATTTGTAAATGTAAATTGGGAATGTTTCTATAGAAGACGTGTTTATTTTAATGTAAACTATTATTTTGTAATGTAATTATTTGAAAGTTTATATTTAATTTCGAGAGTTATAAATATATAAATACATGTTTTAATACATACAATAACCATTAACATTATAACAAAACAACTAAATTAATAGTAAAAGTATTAATAATAATTTACAAAAGGACTACTTATATACAGATTTTACTTAATATTATTTATGCTACCATGCTTGAAACAAACGAACAATCAGCAACACACCACCGCCCAATCATCAAGCCGCTCCTCCTGTGTCAATGACCAATCAGCAGGCAGCAGCGGACCCTCGATATTTCAGCAGTGACGTTTTGAGCATGCGCCGGAAGTGTAGAGCAGAAGCTCGATCGGCATGACTTTCTATCGGGAGGAGCAGCAGGCCGCGAGTCCAGCAGAGAAATGAAGTTTTTACAGGAGAAATACCGCGTTTTTCTGCTGACAGGACCGCGCAGCTCTGCTTGAGACCGCTGGGTGGAGAAGCAGCCATCATGGCGAGTTAATCAGGTGAGTTCGTGCGTGTCTGAGAGGTCAAAGCGACAGTCATGTACTTGTGGTGGTCGAGATATGTTTTTTTTTTTTGTATAGGGGGTGTCAGGTGGTATATTGTGTCGTGTAATGCGCATGTGCAGCAGAAAGGAGAGCTCTGTTAGTTTTGGAGCTCCACTATGAAAAGGTCACAATGACTCTGATAAACATTGAGTTCTGTCACAGCCAAATCACTGATTGACTACTGCTATATTTAATCTTTGACCATACATGGGCGTTTTGTGTCTTTTAAATAGATCTTCATCACCAAAAGATAGTTTGTTTTCTGGCAGAGGTTACATTAAGAAGATGTCTTTTTGTGCTAAACAATAGTGTTAAAATTTAATAAAATATTCGACAACATCCCTGTGTCTTTAAAACTGACTTTTAAACAGATTTTATCATTTACGTTTTTCTAAATTTGATGCTATATTACATTTATTATACATTGCAATAGTCAGTAAGTATGAACAGTCTTATACACCATATATTAAAAATAAATAAAGTTAATGCACTGTCAGATAACACAAACTAACAACGAATAACTTCATTTTCATGGACTAACGTTAATAATACTGTAATAAATGTATTGTTCAATGTTAGTAAGTACATGAACTAGTGTGATTTTTTTGTAAAGTGACCCAGTAGTCTTATAATGGTTACAAAATTAAGTCATTTTGGCTAGGAGCGTATACTAAATATCAAATATTTTAGTTGTATTATAATAATTACACCTAAACTTCTTTAGCACAAGAACGAAATTATTTTTTTAAACAAGTTAAAATGCTGAGGAATATAAGTTGTAAATATTTTCCTAAAAATTCTTATTTTCAGATGTTTATATTAATAAAAAAAATTAAAAACTAATTTAACTCTATTAAGCTAAAAACCCAGAATTTTCAATCACAACAAATGAAAACATTTGTTTTTCTGTCTTATTGTCATTTTATGATTAAAAGGTGCTTTAAATTACAATATTTATCTTTGAAATTGGCAAGAAATCAAACGTAGATTAGGCCAAATATTATTGTTTTACACACCCTATTCCGAAAAAACCCAGTTAATCCATATAAATATAAATAATATATATATATAAAATTATTAGCCCCTTTAAAGTACTTTTTTTTTTTTACAGTTTACAGAACAAACCATTTTTATACAATAACTTGCCTAATTACCCTAACCTGTCGAGTTAACCCAATTAACCTAGTTAAGCCTTTAAATGTACCTTTAAGCTGTATAGATGTATCTTAAAAAAATCTTGTCAAATATTTTTACTGTTATCATGGCAAAGATAAAATATATCAGTTAATAGAAATGAGTTATTAAAATTTATGATTAGAAATGTTTTGAAAAAAATCTGCTTTCAGTTAAACAGAAATTTGGTAAAAAAAATAAACAAGGGGGGTAATAATACTGACTTCAACTGTATGTATATGTATATGTGTGTGTGTATATATATATATATATATATATATATATATATATATTTTTTTTTTTTTTTTTTTTTTGTATTAATACAAAATAAATACTTGTGCATGCATTTCTGAAAAAATAGACAACAAATAAATATCAAAAGCTTTAAATCTAAACTATAGACAGATGTACAGCTCATAGACTTAAATTGTGTGTTTTTCTTTAAACATGTCAGAATTATCTCTACTGCGACTGATTACAGCTGACCTTTAATCTATGTACCTTCACATCTCCACCGCAACACGTCTCTCTTATCCAAAATGTTCTGATTTTGTCACTTCAGGAGAAAAGCATGTGTGTGTGATTCGATGAGGTCATCGGCGGCAATGATGCAGCAGAAGCGCAACATTCAGATCATCGAATGGGAGGATCTGGACAAGCGGAAGTTCTACTCTCTGGGCGTCTTCATGACCATGACCACACGGGCCGCCGTTTACCCGTTCACCCTGATCCGCACCCGCCTGCAGGTCCAAAAGGGCAAATCGCTCTACAACGGCACCTTTGACGCCTTCTGCAAAATACTGAAGGTCGAAGGGGCACGTGGTCTTTACCGCGGCTTCATGATCAACACCTTCACGCTGATCTCAGGTCAGGCCTACATCACCACCTATGAGCTGGTCAGGAAGTACGTCTCCTGGTATTCGTCCAATAACACTGTCAAGTCTCTGGTGGCGGGTGGCGCGGCTTCGCTGGTGGCGCAGAGCATCACAGTGCCCATCGATGTGGTTTCCCAGCAGCTGATGGTGCAGGGTCAGGGCTGCCAGCTCACGCGATTCAAACTCAAACCCAAGATGGCCATGGCCACGGGCAAGCATAAATACACATTCGGGCAGACCAGAGACATTGTGGTGCAAATTTTTCACGCTGACGGGTTTCGCGGGTTTTATCGCGGATATGTGGCATCGCTGCTGACGTACATACCCAACAGCGCCGTCTGGTGGCCCTTTTATCACTTTTACGGAGGTAAGGCATTATTAGGAGTATGGAAAATTTAAAGTTTGTATGAAATTAACGTTTATTTTTGTAGATGTTATAGCCTAGTGGTTAGCGCGGCGACATATGGTGCAATAGCACGTCAGGGCGTCGTGAGTTCGAATCCCGGCTCAACGACATTTCCCCACCCTACCCCCCCTCTCTCTCCCACTTTGCTTCCTGTCTCAATAATATCCTATCTAATAAAGGCAAAAAGGCCAAAAATAAATCTTTAAAAAAAAATAAATATATATATATATATATATATATATATGTATGTATATATATATGTATATGTATTAGGGATGTAACGGTATTGTAAATACCGTCATACCGCAATATTAAATTTTTTCGATATTACCGAAGTCGCATGACTCGGTAAAACTATAGGTCTTCTGAGAAAATTTGCTCAGGCGAATGAAGCGAACGGGAGGTAGCTGGAACTTCATTTCCCATCAGCCCCGGCGTGGCCATAATCCTTTGCGGTCTGTTGTCGCTACAGATCCAGTAATGCGGAAATGGAGTGTGCTGCTAGTAGCGGAGATGAAAAAAAGATGGAAATGATCGAACCTAAAGCGGGTGTTGTCGCCGCGCGCGTGCTGAATAGCGGTGCTGTCGCGCGCGTTCTGATCAGCTGTGTTGTGGCGCGCGTATTGTAAAGCGCCGAGGGGGGGTTGAGCGCGCATACTCAAGAGAGGTGTTATCGCGCGCCTACTGAAGGGCTGGACTGGACGGAGGTTGTGTCGCGTCGCGGGGGCACTTTTGATCGTTTTGGAAGGGCATTTTCTATCCAAGACTAAAAAGGGCATGTGCACTGCACAGGTTGAGCCCTATGTGTGCACGTGCCTGCAAGTTGGGGAATACGACTAATAACAGTCATGGGGACTGCAGAAACACAGCACACTGTTCAGATTGATGTAGACATTGACTTGTACCGCAAAGAGATCTCTATCTCACTCATGGTTTGTCCTCTCAAGTGGGGGAAAGACAATGCACAACGTTACCCCACTGCTGTCAACATGGGCCAAGTCATATCTCTCTTGTCCCAGAATCCTCAGTCCCAAATGAGAGCGGTTTTTTCTGTTGCAGGGGACATTGTAAATACTCAGAGATACCAGCTTTTACCAGATTATAGTTATATGATAATTTTCCTTTAAACCCATCTCTATCTAAGTGAGTGATTAAATGTTGAATGTGATGAGTTTTTAACAATACTAAATTGAAACTTTATTTTTTTACATGGTTTAATAATTTTTTGTTATTAAAATTGAAGTTCCTGTTTCAAAGCTAACAGATAGATGGCTAATTTGTATGTCATTGACACTTTTGGCACTTTTTTGGGAGTATTTTCAAAAGTTTTTTTTTTCCTGTAAATGATTCAATAAATACCGTACCGTGACATTCATACCGAGGTATTACCGTACCGTGAAATTCTGATACCGTTACATCCCTAATATGTATATATATATATATATATGTATATATATATATATATATATGTATATGTATATATATATATATATATATGTATATGTATATGTATATATATATATATATATATGTATATATATATATGTATATATATATATGTGTATGTATATATATATGTATGTATATGTATATATATATATGTGTATGTATATATATATGTATGTATATATATGTATGTATATATATATATGTATATATATATATGTATATATATATATATATATATATATATATATATATATATATATATATATATATATATATATATATATATATATATATATATATATATATATATATATATATGTATATGTCCCACCCGCTCTTCATGTTTCTGTTGAGATTGTCAAACATCCAAAATAAAAATGGCACATTTCAAAGCACTTAGCTTGACCTTTAAATTGCCAAGATGTTTAGTGCAGTGTTTTTCGCAAGCCTGTTCCTGGAGGCACACCAACAGTACATAGTTTAGATGTCTCCCTTATCTGACCCATTAACTTCAGGTTTTGGAGTCTCTTCTAATGTTCTGCTGAGTTGCTTCAGTCGTGTTTGATTAGGAAGAGGTTGTAAATGTGTGCTGTTGGTGTGCCTTTAGGAACAGAGTTGGGAAACAGTGGTTTAATGATAAAGCCTGGTTTATACTTCTGCGTCAAGTCACCGGCGTAACCCACGGCGCATGCAACGCGTATAGCTGCGCATTTATACTTCTGCGCGCTGTCTCTGTCGGTCTGCATTAACACTTCCGAAATGCTAGTTGGCAGTGAGGTGTAAATACTCCTCTGTGTCAAGTTTCTTCGCTGCTGTTTTGCTTTTCCTGAACACTTCCTGAATGTACAACAAGTGGCTCAAACTCGCTCATTTTGAGGCAGGAACCGGCGGACGTGCAACAACTTTAACTATGAGGTAAACACAAAACAAAACTTTTCCATTCGGAGCTCCTTCACGGGACTCCACACTTGTAAACAATCGCTCCATTGGGCTTGTGCCATTCGTGTGGCTCTTGGTCCCGCCCAGACTCGTCAGCGCTACCAAGCCGACCAATCACAGAGCTTGCGCTACACGTTGTTGCGACGTGTAGTTACATTTTTTTAAAGGTGCACGTCGCCGACGGCCATGGCGAAGGGCTATGCGTCAATGCGGTAGCATACCCGTGCGTTTGACGCAGAAGTATAAATCAGCCTTAAGCTGAAATGATTTCATGTTGCGAATATTAGTAAAGCTGAAACCGTTTTTATTAAGCAAATTAAGTCAAATTAATAATTCATTAAATACATTTTTTGACATCAGAGAAAAATAGGGTAATCAGTTTTTTTAAATGTTTGTGCATAGAATGTGTCGTAAAAAGACAGTCATACAATTTTACTAGGGCTGTGTGACATTGAAGAAAAATGCACTGTGTGATGGCGTACTAAATAATGCGATATTTCATTAGAGATTTTTTAAAAATTATCAAAAAAACAATATTAACGCTGAATGTATTTACCATATTTTAACGATATAATAATCTGAAAGTGTAAAGCCATGTTGTTTAATGTTGCATTAAACAAATCTGAGATTAACAATGTAAACAACCAAAAATTGGCATGAAAATAATTACAAAAAATGGTCACGAATTGGACAAAAAAAAAGTCTTAACAAGAGATGTATTTTTAAAGGTTTGCTCCACTGGTATGGTTATATAAACCTGGAAACATCACAACCATTCAGGTAAACAAAAACACCTAAATCGAGAGGACTTACCGCCTTCACTAATTTATCGCAAACTACTGCAATATGCATGAATAAATCTGAGCAATATTTCGATGTACTGTGTAGTCCTATTTTTTACCTTCAAATATTTTAGATGCACTGAAATATCATTCAGTGTAACAAGCTTATATAGCGAAACAACATATTGTCACGCTTTATTTCAATTTATTTCAACAATAATATCATTTCATATAATAACAGGGTTCCCACACTTTCATGGACACCAGATTTAAAGACTTTTAAAAGCACAATTAGTTTTAAATCAAGCACCTTTGTAATTCACACCTCAGCATATGTAGCACTATGAAATAACACCAAGCACATTTGACTTAATATTTACGTTAAAAATGTCAGGGTTACTGCCAAAAATGTAATAAAATTTGTTGAATTTAATACTGGTAATATTCAAATGCGGTTTCTAAAAAATTGATATAATATGTGTTGTTTGTGAGTGTTCTTTTAAATTCTTCTAAGATTTAAATGTAAGATTTTTTATTTAGGAATGTCTAATTTTTTTGTTCTGTTTTTGACAATTGAATACAAATAAACAAACAAATTTTATTTAAAATTTAATTCAAGTACTTTCAAGGTTATATTTGTTTTCAGGTATTTTCCAGGTCTTGAATTCATATAATTGAAATTCAAGTACTTCAAATAAGCATGGGAACCCTGTAATAAGTTTTATATAAGTTGTCATTTCGAGCTCTACTTGAACCCGATCATTTGGGTGGTCTGAATATTTGTAATATTTTCAGCTTAGAACTCGCTGTAATTTGATAAACATGTGACATGTATCCTGTGGTGTGTGTGTGTGTGTGTGTGTTTTTAGAGCAGCTCTCCAGACTGGCTCCTGCTGACTGTCCGCACCTCATCCTACAGGCCATTGCGGGACCGATGGCTGCAGCTACAGCCTCCACCCTCACAAACCCTATGGATGTGGTGCGAGCCAGAGTACAGGTAACAACTGGAAAACTTCACACGTCACACCATCAATATTTATGTATTGTAATCAGTATTGAGATAGTTGTTTTTGAGTGTGTGATGCATTTTATTTGAGTATTCGTTTGCGGAATAAAAAAGGGAAAGCGTTTTTTGTAGAGTATTAATTGGGTCATAAAATTAGTGCTTTTCCTGTATTCGTTACTTAATCTTATGAGCCCCAAATATTTAAACAGTATCATATTACAAGAGGTTATATTCTTAATTTTAAAAGGTAAAAAAAAATTTAATATATTTTTGTTACTACATATAAATTAAACCTATGTTTATGACATTATATATATATGACACAATTATATATAATTTGCATTTTAATCCTTTAAGCAAAAATTACTGTTGAAAGAAACTTGTTGGTTGTGTCCAGCTTGTGTAAGAGCAATGCACGTCATGTTTGGAGCAAAATATACATATATTTAGGTATTCTGAAAGCATATGGAGGCTTACTTTTTATTATTTGCAGCGTTACATTTAAGTGGACTATCTGTTTCTATCTCAGTGACAGTTTAAACGAGTACTGTACATTCTCTAAGTGCTCCTGTCACTGTGTTGAATCCTTCCTGTGCAAGACTGTATGGTATAGTTGTGTAAACTGTAAACTGTTTAATAATGGTAGTTCATTTTGAAATAAAAGTAGCGAAATGTTTGTCAAGAATTATATTTTTCGCTGGAGGAAACAGCAGCTGAGAAAACCAGACTGCTCCTCCATGACATTGGGATACAGGTGATACAAGATTATCTATATCAAAGAAGTGCAAATAAGCAGATATTATAACAATTTATCGATAAACACACACCTCGTTCTCTCGCTGTTCACGACTGTGTTTTGCTGATCAAATGAAAAACAAAAGACGGGGAGGAGCCGAATTCTGCCGCTGTTTTCATATCAAATGTAAAGGGGACTGAGGCGATAATTTAGTGTACAGTTTATGAGCTAATTGTAAATGTTTTAGGGTGGCTGAGTAGAAATATAGGGGGGGCTACAGCCCCTCTAAAATAGACCTAGCAACGCCCATGTCAGACTGTATCGGGAGACTCAACAAATGGTAATAATAAACGTTTACAAGCGCTGTAATACTTTCGAAAATCACAATCGAAATATATATAACCATGCCAAATATCAGAAAGTGATAAATTTTTTTTATAAATTTTTAAAAATACTGTTGTATGTGATGAGTAGCGGCTTGAACGTGGAAACAGTATTGCATATGTCACGACCTAACAAATGGATAGACAAGAAAAAAAATTGAGAAAGTACTGATACAGCACTACAAACGTAAAAGTACACATATTAAATTACAATTCCTGAGGATAAACTACTCAGCTACAGTAATTGAAGTATTTGTAATTTGTTACCTGACAACACTGGTCACAACTAGGGATGTCGAAATTATTTGTTTCTTCGGTGCACCGCAATGCAGACGCGGACAATTCGGTATCGGTTCAGTAATATTCATAAACTTACTATGGCGAGGGAGGCGAGCGCGAGTATATACAATGCACCAACTACTTTAAAACACATAAACTTTGCACAATTTCACTGTGTGTGTGTTTGCTGGACAGTCTTTTACTGACACTTGCAGAAGAAGCCCCTATTTCACTGCGATTGAAAGAATGAAAGTAAATTCCATTTCTCTCTCTCTCTCTGTGGCCCATTTGACCTGCTAGCGTGACTTTTTCTCTCCTCTCGGCTGTTACAGCGATACTTCTGGATACAGACACGAGCGTGTGTCTGCAGAGTTTTCTCCACTGAAAATATAAAATATAACACACAAAACACAAAATATAAAACTGTATAGAAAGCATCGTCAATGCACCGTGATATCGAATTAAACTGAATCGATGGCATGATAATCGTAACCGAACCATGAGACCAGTGGAGGTTCACACCTCTAGTCACAACTATAGTCAGTGTTCATGTTTGCGGTTCTTCTTTTGCATGATACGGTCTTAATAAAGCACGTTTGTGTGTTTGCAGGTTGAAGGACGTTCGTCAGTGATTGAGACGTTTAAGCAGCTAATGGCTGAGGAGGGCATCTGGGGTCTCACTAAGGGTCTCTCGGCACGCATCATTTCCTCCACACCCACATCCATCATGATTGTCATCGGCTACGAGACACTAAAGAGACTCAGTCTGCGTCCTGAACTGGTGCACAGCAGACACTGGTGAAAATACCTCAGCCTTTTAAATGCCTTTTATGACTTTCAGATTTTTATGAGGACCAGGCAATAACCGGCGCTCATCTGTGAAGTTCTATTCTTCCTCTTTTGTGGATTTTTGTATATTTTGTAAACGTTTCATTTGGTTGTGCGCATTTGGGCTGAACTAGTATTCTTTTTTTTTAGTTATGAGATGTCGTGGAATTCCTTTTATGGCCTGGCAAGTGAAAATATTTTGAAATGGTGACTATTTTTGAGTTTTCATTTTGCATTCATGCTGTGCCGTTCACTTCGTATGACAGGAAGTGAGATCATCAGATCTGTTACATGGTAGGAGAATTAAGAACTTAAAGGACTTGTTCACACGAAAATGAAAATTACCCCATAATATACTCGCCATTTTTGATTTATGACTTTTTTTCTGTCAGACGAACACAGTTGAAGTAGTTTTCAATTTGAATCCCGTCTTTTTATGCTGTATAATGGTGTTGGATAGTGACTTTTATTTTGAATTTTCAAAAAGACCATAAATCCATTGTCGCCACCAGGGGCTTAACACGTCTTGTGAAGCAGATAGATTCGTTTAGTAAAAGAAATATTTAAATTGTTTAAATTATAAAGTTAAAGAGACTCAGCCAAAAAGAAAATGAATGAAATTATAAACGCCAATCACTGACTTCTGGGGGCAATATTATTAATAATTATTATTATTTTTTATAAAAGAAAAATCAACAATTATAATAATTTCTTACATTTATATAGCACTTTTCTGGACACTCAACGCTCTTTACACATTTTCGGGGGGAATCTCCTCATCCACCTGGATGACACAGTTGCTGCCATATTGCACCAAACCTCACACCAGCTGATTGCTGGAGAGGAGACAGAAGCTGCGTCTCAAATGGCACACTATGCACTTACACACTCAACTGCATAGTATATGACTGTTGTGTCAACCCAAATGGAGCACTGATGTTTTTTTTAACTAAGCAGACATTCAAACCGTTTCCCTGATGACGGTTGCAAAATTAGTGAAATAAATGACCAAACTACCAAACAATACCTGCCATGAGTATAGCCGCATTCACCATCAGGAGGCGCTATAATCACTATCGTAGGAGAATTTTGCTTTCACCATCAAAAATAAATAAGGTTATACAACATGTGCGCCCGAAAGCTCCACCCTTTCCGATACGCGAGCAAAGCTGCGTTGTGCGCGTGAAGTGTCCATCATTACACACTTCATTTTACCGGCTAAATGAGTGCATCACTTGGGTAATTAAAGTGCACTTACTGTTTTTAAAGTTTCAGTGTGAATGCACAACTTACACTATTAATACTACAAAACGACGAGGAATAGTGCATACGTATTCGATTTGGGACGCAGCTAGAATGATGAAGCCAGATATGATATGGGGATGGTTAGGAGGCCATGATAGACAGAGGTAGTGGGCAAATTTGGCCAGAATGCCAGGGTTAAACCCCTAATCTTTCGAAGGACATCCTGGGATTTTTAACGACCATAGAGAGTCCGGACCTCAGTTTACGGTCTCATCTGAAAGATGGTGCTCACTGAGCAGTATAGAGTACCAATCATTATACTGGGGCGTTAGGACCCACACAAACTGCAGGTTGAGCGCCCACTGCTGGCCTCACTAACACCACTTCTGGCAGCAATCTAGTCTTCCCATGTGGTCTCCTATCCAGGTACTGACCGGGCGCAGCCCTGCTTAGCTTCAGTGGGCGACCTTGTCGGGTTAGAGGAGGGGTTAGGTGAGCCCATTAAGAAGCATTGAATGCAGCTCAGATTACACTGCACCAGGTCTCCATCCAGACCCCTCTCGCATATTTACAGAAAGAGATAAATACCAAAACAAACAAAGGAAGGGGTAAGTTAATTACAATAGTATAGAAGTGTATGAAAATAAATTTAGGAGCATGATCTAAATCTAATCAGAGTCTGATGAATGGACAAATATAAAACTGACATATACGATGTTTGACGTAAAACTAATTAGTATCTTCAGGAATATATTGGGAACCAGTTAATACACTATTTGTTGACGACCAATAAAAAAAACGACTTTGCTTGCTGTTAAGTCTGATTTATACTTCTGCGTCAAGTGAACACGTATAGTGCGGCGCAGCCCTCACACGATCGCATGGAACTCGTCGTGGCTGACGTTGACACACACCTCCCAAACATTGTAACTACACGTCGCATAGCGCAAGCTCTTTGATTGGTCAGCTTGGTAGCGGTGATGAGTGTGGTCGATGCTGAGAGGCGCAAGCCCAATGGAGCGAGTGTTTACAAAACACCCGTGAAGAAACTCGACACAGAAAACACAAAAAGCACGCAGTAGTGTGAATCCACGGCTACGCACAAGACAGGCGCCATTATTCCCGCTGTTCCCTTGACATATAAGTATAAATCAGCCATTGTTGTATAACGTTATACAGTATATTACTTTTGAATAATTCCATGTACATGTCAACTAGTCTTACATCACACGTCATATTGTATACGGTCACACATAGCATGCATTCGGTGTATAACGTTAGTTTGACGATAGATTTATGTGCTTTCAGAAACTTCAAAATAACTTCTATCCAACACCATTAATGCCTGTGCACACCGGGACGCTTTTTGCTCACGTTTTTAGTTAACGTTTAACGCCTCGTGACTAAATAAAGAAAGCCAATGTGATCGTGCACACCAACACGTAAAACACCAAGCGAAAAAGTGCAATTTTTAAAGAAATGCCTCATACTCGTTTTTTTGTTTTTACGCACCGCATCAAAACCTTCTCCACCAATCAGATCGGCACTTTGTTCACGTGTACGGAGCTGCTGAAGTTACAGTAAACAGCAATTGGAGGCGCTCAAGTGCAAAACTGTAAATGCGAGCGCACATTGAAGAAGATGCCCAGAGGCGATATGAATGTGGAGCTGCTTATTGCACTGGTGAACAATAATCATTTCTTTATCGCCAGAGCTGGAGCTGCTACTTGAACCATCCATGCTTTTTCGAATCGCCAGTAACTTTAACAACAAGTGTGTCAACTTTCTGTCTTCTTCTTCTGTATTATAAGCGGGTGTCAGAAGCTTAAAGTTGTGTAGGGCCATCTAACATCAAGGAGTGATTTTGCATACTCTTCTGCTCGACGCCAGTGAAAATCGCTTGGGTTTGAATCCGGATAACGATAAACGCAAACGAAAAGCGGTGTGTATGAGCCTTTATACAGCATGGAAGAGCCGGGACAAAATTTGTAACTGCTCCACCTGTGTTCGTCTGACGGTTAAAAAAAAGTCATATACACAGGATCGCTTGAGGGAGAGTAAATTACAGGGTAATTTTCATTTTTGTGTAAATTGCTTTTTTAAATGGGCTTTTCACACTTGAAACCCTGGGTCATTTATGAGCTTAGTGAGTCAGTTTGACTAGTCGGGTTACATTTTCGAACTCTGGGTTAATAATGATTATATTTACCAAGTTATAGAGTGCATTTGTGCCCACTTCTTAAAAGAAATGTTCATTATAAATGTAATTCAATTCAATTTCTCAATAGTGATATTATTTTAGAAAGTATTTTTTTAAGCATCATCAGCCATGAACTAAACCAAACGAGGTCCATCACAAAATTACAAACTTTGATTTGAAGAAAAAGTATAATATTTTCCCAGAGATGGGTTGCGGCTGGAAAGGCATCCGCTGCCTAAAAACTTGCTAGATAAGTAGGCGGTTCATTCCGCAGTGGCGACCCCAGATTAAAAAAGGGACTAAGCCGACAAGATAATGAATGAATGAAAGAATAAAATATATGAATGAGATATGAATAAATATATGAATGCCTGATAGAAAGACAAAAGAACAATGCCACTGTCACACTAGAGTTTGCGAAATTCTGTCATGCAGCGCTGTGAAAAAGGGCGGGATTAAGCAAGTTGATTAGCCATTAAAGTAAAAGCCAGTGATTGATCCATATTGGTCCACATCTATGGGGTGAAAAGTGCAGTGTGTCCACGGGCTAACATCGTGTGCTTGATGTCTTTAATAAAGAAATACAATATTATCCTAAGACATATTGTGAATGAAAAACGACTGAGAAATATATTTTAAAAAGTTATTTTAATTCGATGGCTGCATCTATAGACGTAAATCTCGTAAAATATGCACATATTTATATATATGTAATAAGATCATATGGAGACTTGAATATATGATTTGTGGTGCTTTAAGGGAGTGGACGTAGCTAAAAAAAAAATTTGCCGCACAGAAAAATGCTAACTTTTAAAATAACACAGAAAATGTTATCGTTAGAATCTCTGTGGAGTTAAAAAATTTCAGTTTTTAAGTATGCGCAAGAACTTGACAACCAAAGCAAATTGTCTACAGGTGTGAAATCGCCACCTACTGGCCTGGCGTGCAACACATCAATATTTTTTAGTTTTGAAGAATCTGATAATTTTGACAGCCATGATGGCTGGAAAACCTTTCAAGAATATAAACACTCATACCTGAATATGTTAATGAAGAGTTTACTGTAAATGGAAATTTACTAAATATATAATTAGAAGATAATAATATTGCATCGGCCTGAAGCTTCCTATATAAGGGTTTAAATTATGCATTTTTCTAAATTGACATTAAAGGGGACCTATTATGCTAAAATTACTTTATTAAGGGGTTTAAACACAAATGTGTGGCAACAATCTATTAATATATCAAGCCTCTAATAAATGAATTCTATTTATAATCACACTTGATAAACAGTCTGCAGAAACACTTTGACTGACATTCTCCCTTTGTAAGTGTCAGAGGGGGAAAGCCCCACCCATTAGTGACCATCTCTCCCTCATTAGCAAAAAGCATTAGTCTTGTTTTTGAATCTGCCACTATGCTGACACATGGGCATCAGTAGCTCCGGCCTGTTTTGAAATGAGAATAATCCCATTTGAATTTAAAGCAACAGTCACCAAAACACCACATTTTGTATCACAGCCTAAAAGGGGCAGTTTCAAAGAGTTATAAAACATTATCTGTGGGGTATTTTGAGCTGAAACGTCATATACACACTCTAAAGACAGAGACTCATTCTGCCTCTTGTAAAATAAGGCATAATAGGACCACTTGAAAAAGATTATGGAATTTAATTGATCAAAGCCACCTTAACCCAGAGTTAATGGGTGTGAAAAGCCTTGTAATAAAGGCATCTCGCTCTACTGAACTGGTTGAATCTGCTTTGGATCGTATCGTATCATGTCTGTTTTCATCATGCCTTCCTCGTAACTATCAGAAAACAGTGTTTTGGGGCCAAAGCGTTTGCCAGTTGACGTATTTTATAAACGTGCATTGTTTGAACTGCCAAAGTTGTTTGTGTGTAAACGTTTGTTTCTAACTAAATCTTTGTGTGGCCTGGGAGTGAATTGAATCAACCACACAAGATTGAAACCGCCTTATTTTCCTTTGATAGTGCGGCTCTAACACTCTAAACTCTTCTGTTGTCAAGTTCTGTTCTGGATTAGGTTTTCAAACTTTTTTTTTTTACATGTTTAATCACCAGCGGTTCAAATCAAGGGCTCTGAATTGTTGCAACAGTAACATGTGTTGGCCTGTAGAGGGCAGAGGAGTCACGTTTGTGCTCAAGATATGGGGAAAAAAAGGAAATATCAGGGAATTTTACACTTTTTTCCAAGCCAACAGGTAATTAAACTATATATGAATTAACTAACCAACTAACTAATAATAGTCTGTAACATCACTGGTCATTAATGTGTGAATCCAACAAAAACGATTGTTTAGTAAAAAAACAAAACGTTTATTTGTATGATCATGTGCAGATGTTGGCAATGAAACCATGAATTGATAATAATAATAAAAAATCAGTGGTATGCTGTGGTCTGAGTGGGTGTGAGTTCACCAGGAGGCTGTGGAGCTTTACATGGGACAGTCGTAAATATGGATGGCGCGGTCGTCTCCCGCAGACACGATCTTTGAGCCTGTGGGATTGTATTTCACACTCCAAACCTGCACAGATTTACAACATCAACAACATGTAAGAGTTATGCTCTTGAGAAACGAAAACATACTGATATCTGCTAAAGCAAATACAGAAATAACAGTCATTTTATCGAGCATTTTCAACAAAATTTCTCCAGTTGTGGGTGTCATAAATGATTCGGTTACACTTTACAAAAGGGTTTCATTAGTTAATGTATAAACTAACATAAACTAATAATGAACAGTATATATTAATCACAGTTTAATCAACATTTACAAATTCATACTTGTTAACATTAATTTAAGGCAGGGGTGGCCAAACTCGGTCCTCGAGGGCTGGTGTCCTGGAGAGTTTAGCTCCAGCTCTAATCAAACACACCTGCTTATAGATTTCTAGTGATCTTGAAGACACTGATTAGTTTGTTCAGGTGTGTTTGACTAGTGTTGGAACAAAACTCTGCAGGCACACCGGCCCTCGAGGATCAAGTTTGTACTAGAAACTTCCCGGCAGGTGTGTTAAAGCAAGTTGGAGCTAAATTCAGCAAGACACCGGCCCTCCAAGACTGAGTTTGGACACCCCTGATTTAAACTTAGATGGATAGATCGATAGAATGAAGGAACAATAGATAGATAGATAGATAGACAGACAGACAGACAGACAGACAGACAGACAGACAGACAGATAGATAGATAGATAGATAGATAGATAGATAGATAGATAGATAGATAGATAGATAGATAGATAGATAGATAGATAGATAGATATAAAATGATAGAAGGATGGAATGATAGATAAAATGATGGATGGATGGATAGATAAATAGATGGAACGATAGATAGACAGATGGATGGATGGATGGATGGATAGATAGATGGATAGAACGATAGACAGATGGAACTATAGATGGATGGATAGAACGATGGATGGATGGATAGATAGACAGAATGATTGAACGATATAGAATGATGGAAAGATAAATAGAATGACGGAACGATAGATAGAACGATGGATGGATGGATAGATGGAACGATAGATGGATGAATAGATAGATAGATAGATAGATAGATAGATAGATAGATAGATAGATAGACAGACAGACAGATGGAACAATAGACAGATGGATAGATAGAACAATGGATAGATAGAACGATAGGTGGATGGATATAGATAGATGGATAGAACGATGGATGGATGGAACGATGGAACGATGGATGGATGGATGGATGGATGGATAGACAGAATGACTGAACGATATAGAATGACGGAACGATGGAACGATGGATGGATGGATGGATAGAAGGAACGATAGATAGATGAATGGATAGATAGATAGATAGATAGATAGATAGATAGATAGAATGACAGACAGATAGACAGATAGATAGACATATAGATAGACAGATAGACATATAGATAGACAGACGGACGGACGGATAGAAGATAGATAGATAGATAGATAGATAGATAGATAGATAGATAGATAGATAGATAGATAGATAGATAGATAGATAGATAGATAGATAGACTAACTTTTAACAGGTAATGTAAGAACTGAACTGCATCTAACACATTATTTCCATCTGGACCTCTTGGATTGAATGAAAGGGAAGAGCGAAGAAGACAAAGAGGAAAGAACTGGAGTTGTTTTGTGACAGAAGCTGAAGTTTAAAACCCCTGAGGGACAGCCAGAGACGCAAACAGGCTTTTCCAGCACGTTCACGTAACCCATAATCATCCTAAATGCATCCAGCAGACGCTCTGCTTTAATAGAGGAAACCGAAGACAGCCTGAATCATGTGGAAGACGATTTTCACCTTCCAGCGTGTGCAGGAGTTTCCCAGTCGCAATATCAAAAATATTAATGATTCCGTCAATAGCACCGCTGGCTAAGTACTTTCCATCTGGACTCTGGAGACACAGAGAAAAGAAAGATATTACAGTCTGGAAAACCCAACAAATGTTCGTTCAAATGTGTGTGAGAGTGCGTAATGTGTGAAATCTATTTCTTTTCTTTCTTTTTTTAAAGCCTGTACATAAGTGTCACTGTAACGCTCTGCCCTATGAAAAATACATTTCCCAGATGTTTTCCATGATTCATGCTCAATATTTTATCTTTATTTCTTGGTAACAAAACATTTTAGAGCTAGGCATAACAAAAGCCATTTGTTCAACATTCTTTTATAAGGAATCCTTATAATTTATAGTGTCATTACATTCTCAAGACCATAAAAGATGTTGGACCTTGTTATGTTTAATAACCTACATATGTAATAACTTATACCATAAATTATAATGGAATATGATGGTGATAAATGATTTTGAATTAGCTCCTTTTGGACAAACTCATCAGATCACAACCCACAGTTCAGAACACATGTGACCCGCAGATTAGGTGAATACTTTTTTCTTTACTTGTAGATCAATCCTAAATTTGTAACGATCAGAGAGCGATCACCTCTTGCACCATTGAAATCACATGTATGAAAGCATTTAGGCTTTCCTGTAAAATATAATGAGGAATATGTGGTGGGTTATTCAGGATGTGGCAGGTTTCTTAGGTTATTAAAGGTGTTTTCTGTCATTACTTAGTCTTGTGTTCTCGTGTAATGTCATCATCAGCTGCCAAAGTTCTAACGCCTGTTTCACACCGCAAGCGTCAGCGGCGCGTGAGCAGAGCGTGCGCAGCGCGTATGTCGAGCAGTAGCAGCATGCAGGCGTTTGCCTTTCACACCAGCTGCGTCTGCAGCGCGGAGCTCTTCGGCAGCTGCTGCAGAGATCAACCTATCTCTGTGTATTCTATCTAGTTACCCATGTCTCTCTATTTACAAATACACTTTTTAAACTTTTCATCTGCAACAAGGCCCCTCCTATGCTGTTTCTTTAACCTGCAAATGTTTATTTTACAAAATTTATAGATCAAATAGTACTGTATGCTTCTCAAGCTAACTTATATGAGAAGTGTCTACAGTCAGAAGACAATCGCCTGTGTTGTAGACCTAGTTATAATAATATTTATACAATATAGTTATAATGATATTTATACATGATCAAACTAGTGTTACTTTCTCCGCTTCAGTGATGTCCAGCGGCAGAATAACAGCTCGTTAATTCATGCTCGTGCAGATGATGAGACGGACAAAAGTAACCAATGCATGCCATTCTTTTACTTATTTTCGTGTTGTCAGATTCACAGAGCAAACAGCTCCCGGTAGGAATAACTCGAGTGAACATAAAACAAAGCCGATTAAAACTTTCTTCCTCTGCTAGCTGCACAGAACACAGCGAGCTCACATCATCCAGCATGCGTGTCGAACTACACTACCCACAATACACTTTGCTATGGACTACAAATCCCGTAAATATTCTATTTCCCCTCTCCTACAACACTAGTGTGCAACTTAAGCAAAACTGATACTAAAATTGTTTTACATTTGGTTTTGTAGTTCGGGCCTAAATAAATGTTTCTTGCCGTTTTTAATCGTTTTAAGTTAATTTGGATGACTATATAAACCATTTGACATTATTAACGCATTTATTGAGTAAAATTGCTACTTTTTACTGTCATTCAATGTGTTTTGGTCATTATCAATGCACTGTAACTTTAATGCGCGTCAAAAATAGACCCAGCGCCGAAACTATCGCTGCACTGCTGCTTCGGCGACGCTCACGCCTCGCTCTGACGCGCTGCTGCTGCTTGCGGTATGAAAGCTCTAATCTGTTAACATGGACGCCGAAAACACACGCGCTGCTCACGCTCTGCTCACGCGCCGCTGACGCTTGCGGTGTGAAACAGGCATAATACTCAAGACCGCAAGAACAGAGGATGCCTGAAACTTCCCGGATGTGTTCTTGATATCAAGGACGCACTAATGCAGACTTGAGCACCGTTCTTGCTCTAAAAGTCCCAGAAGTCATTGCGACTGGAGGTGGAATGCGCAGCAGTTTATTTAGATTTGTTATTAAAGTTCAGAGATATGACTTATTTACTTCAGGAGGTTCCCAAAATGAAACGGTGAATGTAAACATTACCATGGACATATTAATAAAGGAATATACACATTAAGGGAATTTGTTTGCTGAAATTCGTATAAAAATTGGAATTGAGAAACAGCCCATTGTTTAGCCTGCATTAAGGAATTCAGTGTAAGCTGCACGATTAATCAATAAAAGATTGGGATCTCAACACCCACTCAACATCAATTATAAATGATGGTGATTTGCACATGTTTATTAATCCTCGAATCGCTGCATTCAAATCTGTGTTTGAAATACGCAAAAATCAAGAAAGATATGGAGTCTTTAGTCTTTTGAGTTAGTTACAAACAGTCAAATGACACAGAATTACTTGGTGAACAGTTCATAGTTTAGATAAAACCACTGATGATTATGGTAAAGATTAAAACTACTGTCATATGCATTTAACAATGCTTAAAAATGAAAATTGTAGGCAGCAATTACATTATTTAACCAATAGGTGGCGACAACCAGCCATCAAAAATATGCCATTGTATAATGCTTCAAAAACGATACATGTAGCAATGAAACATGAAGTTTTATGAGTGAAAGACTGAATCATTTATTAAAAAAATTAAACTAAAAATTAATATGGGTTTAACAAATTATAATGTTAGATTAACACATTTAGCGTTATCAGTAACAGTAGTAGCAATTCCAGCGTTATGGATGTGACAATTGGAGTAAAAACTCAAAACATAAATTCACATAGAAAGAATACGTTAACATTATATTGAAAATTTGTTTATATTTTACAGAACAACTAACCACAGGGTTACAGGACCAGAAAAATATCAATCTGTAAACATGATTCGCACTTTAAATGAGGAAAATAGACATGCGTTATGGATGTGACCAAAAGAGTCTGCGAGTTTACAGTTCACAAATTACTTTGTAGAAATTTTGTATATTAAATTGCACAAACCAAAAGAAATAATGCTAATCAAAACGATAAGAGTTGGTTCTCTATAGAACAAAAAATATTGATATTATTTTATACTGTTGCATTCATGAGGAAAAAGTGCCGTTATGTGAATTTGCTTCGTTATGGATGTGACCGATGTAAAATTGCCACTTGTGTGACTTTGCTAATTCAACTAGAATAGTTTGAAAAAACTAACAGATCACACGCAAATGGCTACAGCAAGAGCGACCAACCCTTAGTTATTGGATAGACGCAACTATTGAGATCGACACAATGGAAAAAATCACTTTTGTTGTCAATTTAAAGAAGGATATATTCCTAGGAAAATGGAGAAAAAGGGTTAAATATATTTTAGTTAGAAGACCCGACTTTGTTGCTATAAATGAATACAAGATGTTGTTCTGATAGATAAATATATGCTAATGTATGTACATGTATATGGTTACACTTATTCATATTATTATGTGTAACATCCCCATGTGTATAATGAAGATAGTCACTTGAGATTATTCTGGAAGGAATTATATTATGACATGTGTTCTTACCCTGGATGTAAATAGTTTTTTAAATTCCATTTATTTTTGATTATTATATTTTATTGGATCTTTTTCTTATTTTTTTTACTTTTCTTCTCTTTTTATGCTGTTTTTCATTTTATAATTTACAAAATTTGAGTACTACTGTGTAGAAAATACACCTGACAATAATGTACGCAATTGTTATACCATCTAAGCTCACATACTGAGATACCACTGTACCTTAAAATACTGTGATTGTACTCAACTGAATATTCAAAATAAACAAAGTTAAAAAAAAAAAAGAAAGAAAACACTAACAGAGATATTTTGATTATTTCTAATGTACTGAAAAATAATTGCTTCCCCGAAATCTTGAAAACTGTTTTGCTATTTTGTTGAAAACCTAGTTTTTTTTTCATGGCAAGGTTGACATTTGCATGGAATTACTCAGTCGTGACAGTTAATTCTTCACTGTACTAAACATTTTACAACAAATTTTTATTCAGCTGATTATTTCTTCATTTAATTTTTAATAAAATTACAAGTTGTAATATCTGTTTGTTAAAACCAAAAGTTTCCTGCAGTGCTGTTTTTGTAATAAATGGAAAGAAAATTACAGTTGTCTCCTCCCCTTTTTGGTTGATATGAAAAATGGTCCTGAGACTAAAAACTCATAATGAGATCCGAACTGTGGTATTTGTGATCCATTACACCAGGCATGTACAAACTCGGTGTCCTGCAAAGTTTAGTTCTAACCCCAATCAGTCACACCTGGCCTAGCTAATCAAGCTCTTACTAGGCTTTCTAGAAACATCCTTGCAGGTGTGTTGAGGCAAGTTGGAGCTAAAATCTGCAGGACACCGGCCCTCCAGGACCGAGTTTGGACACCCCTGCATTACACCATTAATACTAATATACATATGCATTGTGTGTGTGTACGTAAAATAAAAACAAATGATGTAACATTTAAAATGAATGCCTTTTAATAATGCTTTGTGATCTTACATAAGCGATGCTCAGAATGAATTTCCCTCTGGTGTCCAGTGAATGCTCCTTTTTCCCACTTTCCACACCGAAGATGTTGACCTTCCCAAGATGGCTGCCGGTGGCGATGTATTTGGAGTCAGGAGAGAAAGCCACCGTCCAGGCGTCAACTGCAGACGGAATAGAAAATAAGTTCACCACACTCAAAGCTGCATTAAACATCAAATGGGATTTCGAAAAAGATTTTTCCCAATGTTTCAATGTAAACAGTCTGCAAAAGTGCCAATCAAGATGAATTAAGAAAGACTTAACTCTAAATTGCCTTAACGAGCCGTTACATTTTCAAGTCTTTAGCCTTCTACCAATCTACGACAAGACAATAACAGTAACTATTTTGCATTATTCCAAAACATACGAACACTCTGAAATGGGTGTTTAATTTTTGACATGGAATAGGCTCAGAAAGACCGATCAAAACAGACTTGTCCAGCTGACCAATCAGAGCAGAGTTGACTTACGGAAGGGAGGGGTTTACAGATTATAAGCCCACGATTCATTCAAACAAACTGTGCTGAAATCATTGCAGAATTATTTTAATTTGAATTACATAATCTGAGGAAATTACAGTGTTTTCTGACCTTAGATGACTCTAAAACAATATTAGGACACTTTAATATACCATACACCTGCTCTTAAAAAAAAAGAAATGAACGCTTACCAGGTCCCGCGTCCATGGATTTAATCTGTTTGCCCGTCTCCAGGTCCCAGAGGCGAATGTGAGCATCCAGAGAGCTGGAGGCGGCGATGGCTCCATTCTGACTGATGTTCACAGACACAACACCCAGCTGATGACCCTCGAGAGTCCACTGCAGCTCCAGCTTCTCATCACTCCTGCCAGACAAGAGCAGAAAAATAGACACTTTTTAGGGTAGGTTTAACCTTGAGAAAGCTTTGGTTCAATTGAAAACAACTCTGGAGTGAATGCTGCCATCTGATCCCTGGTGAGAGCAATGAAAAGATGCAGATTTTGTACTTGGAACGAACAAGATATCTTTAAAAAGCCCACGTGGACAATTTCGCAAGATCTGGGGCCCTTTCCTCTGTGATTTCATGAGGAATTATATTCTTTAAAGCTATGTATTGTAACTAAAAAGTTGCTTTGATTGCCACTATATTGTACACTTACAGGCTGGGATAGGGGTGTTCTTTTAGTTTGTTTGTTTGTTTGCTTTCGTAAGTTTATGCATATCAGAAAATAAATCCTGGAATGTGATTATTGTTCAATTTAATTCGATTCATCTTTCTTTCTTTCTATACCACTTTTATAATGTAGATTGTGTCTAAGCAGCTGAACATAGAAGTTCTAGTAAATTGAAACAGTGTCAGTTCAGTTTAAGTTGAAGTTCAGTTTAGCTCAGTGTGGTTTAATTTTCACTGATGAAAGTCCAAACACTGAAGAGCAAATCCATTGATGTGCAGCTAGCTCCACATGTCCCGAACCAAGCAAGCCAGTGGCGAGAAACAAAACTTCACCAATTGACGAAAGTGAAGAAGGAAAAAAAAAATCTAGTGATAAATCAGAATCAGTTGAGCACAACAATTTCTCCTCTGGCCAAACTACTTGTGCAGAGCTGCAGTCTGGGTGCAGGAGGCTGCAGAATGCTGGACGTCCATCCAAGTATATTCAATGGCCAAATAAAACTTATTTAACTGTTTTTTGATTCTGACTAAGACAGGGGTGTCCAAACTCGGTCCTGGAGGGCCGGTGTCCTGCAGATTTTAGCTCCAACTTGCCTCAACACACCTTCAAGGATGTTTCTAGAAAGCCTGGTAAGAGCTTTATTAGCTAGCCCAGGTGGGCCTGGACTAAGAGAACCAGGAGAATTAAACAACTAGGCCTAGGTAGTGTATATAAAATTTGTTTGTTGCTCATAATATAAAAATAATAATAAAGATCTTATAAATGATTTTGGGTTATTATGTTAAGGGTTGCTCTTTAAAAGATGCCAATTTTAATATAAACGTTATCACTATGTAAATTTCACATTCACAAATGCAAATCGGCAAAAAGCAAACTTCTCTTCATGGCACTAGAAAAACAGATTGAATAAATGGCACATATATAAATGTGATATAAAACAAATATTATATGCTCCTCTGTTAACGTTTTTGCATAGAATGTCCAACATAGGGTTGTAACGGTATGAATTTTTTACGGTATGATAATCGTCTAAAACAATACCACGGTTTGACGGTTTCGCAGTATACGGTATTAAATAGTAATTCTCATAGCAAAGACCCTGAAAAGAATAAGAACACATTTTCTGACTGAACAAAGGTTTTATTTCAACAAACTTTTGAAAGAACCATTTTAATAGAACTATAGAAGTCTTTTATAAAAATAAACTGAAAAATCTCCCATTTTAATAAATTAAATTAGAAGGAATAAACAAGCAGGGTCTTTTAAGATTAGACAAAAATAAACTTAAACTGTCCTTCCTTATAAGCAGGATAAATGGGAGACCAAAAGTGCAATACCAAGTTTATGGCTGTAAACATGTATTTAAAGCGTTGTTTTTTTCAGTCTAGGTTGTGATGAAGAAATGTAAGCATGTTGAGATTTTCAGGACTTAATATTGACCGCTGAGGTGAGAGAATGTGTCCACTTGTACAATGAACAAATAAAAAAATAATAAATAATGTCAAAGTCCAAATAAACATGGTGCAAATCCTCAGTAAAAATAGATATAAATATTTACTATACTATAAATAGTTACATAACGAAACTAGATTCAATATGGAACATCCTTAGGTTTTATGTGCCACCATGGATATGGTTGTCTGTGGATATGGATTTGGATGTGGTTGTATGCAATGCAGACAAACAACTGCACCTTCATTTCGTTTTATTTAGCCGCGCAGAAATGTATGCCTATCTCTCATTCCGTGTTGTTCAAAAAGCTCAGTGTTGGTCCACAAACAAAAGCGAAACCTATGCTTATTGGTTGTGATATAGCGAGTTTGAACCAATCTGGGCATGGAGGAGGGACAATGCATCAATGTATCATGTCTGGTTTGTCCGGAGACACAGTGACGAGCGTTTCTTTGTCAAATCAGCGTTGTCAAATTTTGATGACGTAACCGCACTGATTCCGGAGCCTCTGAAAGTCCGCGAATGTTATGTGATACAGCACTAGAAAGCTGAGATTCTCTTCTTTATGCCAATCTTTCAATTGTATGAATCAGATCAGCGGATCAAAGGTTATTAAACATTTAAGAGCAATACTTATTTTTAGCCGCGGGCGGCTGTCTCGGTCTTTAAGGGTTAAAACCGTTGATATGCAATTGTTCATGGTATGATAATCGTGCACGTTCAAATCGTGGTAAACCGTCATACCGGTATATTGTTACAACCCTAGTCCAACATACTGCTTTTTTAAACTTGCAATTGTGAGTTTACATTGATTCTGAAACAAGATGTCAGAATTTTCAACCACTGTGAGTTATAAATTAGTGCGATTTAAAGTCAAAATTGTAAACTAAATTGTATTTAAACCCCTCGGAATTGTATTTATATCACACAGCTAGGCCTGTCACGATAAGGAACTTAGGAAATAGTTGCAATACGCGATACTACTGTCATATTGATATCATTTTATACCACTGATTATATAATGATCCTATATCAGCATAATAACTCAAACAGCCATTATCACTTTAAAATACTTATCATATTTAGATTCTATAAGTTGACGTTAAAAAGGTAATTTCCTATTGTATATACCATTTAATGTCCTATTAGGTAAATGTCTCATTTTAAACTTTGACACTGGTGAGGTAGAATGTAAATGTCATTGTAAAATGGCTTTAACGTTATTTGTGAATTTGTAAATATATACTGCAACGGCAAAAATGATTGAGGTCATCTCAAAGTATTGCTCGACAAGTCGATATATGGATTATTGTGACAGGGCTACACACAGCCTTACTGCAAACACACTCTAAATCAAAAGTTTACCCTTTTACTGCACTTTGCTCATTGATTTACCATTTCCACACTTTGACCAGGTCATCCAGAGAGCCGGTCACAATGGTTTCAGAGCCGTCCTTCTCACTGCGACCCCATGCTGCTGTCCAGATGGCGTCTTCATGAGCTGCAAATGCATAAAAGCACATTTAGTAGCTCAAATATGCTCCCTATCTAGACAGCTCACTACATTCCAGACATTTTTTAGGAATAAGTGTGTGAGGAGGACTCACCGTGCTCCTGCTTGAAGAGTATACTGTACTGAAAAACAGAGAAATAAACATTTATATAACATAAAAGCATGATTTTGATCACTGTATAATACACTTTAAAAATGCTTTTCTTACTTAGATGATTTTTATTAAACATAGTTTGTTGTTTTAAGAAATAATGTGTCAAAATTAAGTGAGATTTTCCTTAAAACAAGCAAAATAATCTGCCAATGGGGTAAGCAAAATAATCGTAAATCAAAAGGAAAAGCAAGATTATTTTTCTTACCTCAAGGGAAGATTATTTAGCTTGCTTTAAGAATAAACTCGCTTAATTTTGACATATTATTTCTTAAAGCAAGACACTATGTTTAGCTTATTTAGAAAAAGCTTCGTGGTTTAAATATTTTTTAGAGATTTGGACTAGAAACAAGTCAAACTTTAAGTAGTAAGAGCATTTGTTGCAGTGTAACGTTAAATAAGTCAGAAAACTTCTAGCTATGTGAAAATATTAGAGATTAACTCACTTGTGTGCTCATGGTTCTTCGCTTCAAACCCTGGTTGTGCTATAAAGGAGTTCTTATGAGTTAATAAGCCGTGTGTGATTTTTATTATTAATTATCTCACTTTATACACTCAATTCATGCAATGGTGCTAGCGTATTTTAGCTTTTCAATAAATGAACGGATTCTTTACGTCTTCTGTGCGTCCCGAAAAAGCTGTAGCGCGGTCGAGCTAAACACCGTAAGCGTTTAATGGTAGCTACGGATATTAAATTAGGAAATAATGCGGTCTGTTAACAATAATAAACGGCCGCAATGATACCGACTAGAGAGCCGCCATGACACCTGCGCGCAAAGCAGCATGGGAACAGACGACTGACTCCGCCCTCTCGTGCTGGCTTTCAAAACACTGGTCTAGAGGAATATTATTATTCATTCATTCATTTTCCTTCGGCTTAGTCCCTTGTTTATCAAGGGTCTTCACAGTGGAATGAACCGCCTATTATTCTAATTATTATTATATAATATTATGAATGTAACTAATATATCTTAACTAACGTGTGTGCTAATTAGAAAGAGCTTTATTGCCAGGTATGTTCACACATACGAGGAATTTGTTTTCGTGACAGAGCTTCTACAGTGCAACAGAATCACAGATACAGGACAAAAACAGATGATAAATATATTTTTTAAATAGTAAAAAAAAGTAAGTGAATGCAAATATACAAATTGACACGTGTACAGGTAGATTATATACGTTATATGTGCGGCATATAAAGTGTGTTGTTAAATAAGTGTATATGTGTGTAAAAAAAAAGTGTATAGCAAGTAGTGTGGTTGTTAAAAATAACAATATCCTGCAATAATATTAATATTATACAAATAAAAAAAAAGAAATTTAATAAATTATATATATATATATATATATATATATATATATATATATATATATATATATATATATATATATATATATATATATATATATATATCAATGATGAGAATAAAATACCATTAAAATTAAAACACAAAATGAATCATTAAAAATATATTTTTAACTAACTAAAAAGGCTACAATTGTTTTACAATAATAAAAATCAAACATTTATTGAATCAATGCTAATATAATAAAAACATAAAATATAAATGATAAAAATACATTATTGTACTGAAAAGACCAGATAATCAAAGCATTATTAAACAACATGTATAAGTGCAAGTAGAAACTGAAATTGAAGTAATAAACATATTAGTTGTTTATAAAATAAATACTAAATATATATTTCTCAATTCTAAATTACAGTACTAAATATATACATCATTATTGATACAAATGCAGGTACCAGTTATTGTAATATATATATATATATATATATATATATATATATATATATATATATATATATATATATATATATATATATACACTCACCGCCCACTATATTAGGTACACCTTACTAGTACTGGGATGGACCCCCGTTTGCCTTCAGAACTGACTTAATCCTTCGTGGCATAGATTCAACAAGGTACTGAAAATATTCTTTAGATACTTTGGTCCATATTGACATGATAGCATCACGCAGTTGCTGCAGATTTGTCGACTTTACATCCATGATGTGAATCTCCCATTAAAGTAGTACTAGGGTTCCACAAGGCTGTGTCAGTTCACCTATTCTTTTTACACTTTTTACAAATGAATGTTCAAGTAAGCATTAACAGAATTTTATTTTTAAATATTCTGATGACACAGCCATTTTTAACCTATAAGAATGATGATATCAGTGTTATCTACCAGTCAGAAATTAGCCGGTTTGTTGAGTGGTGTGATAGAAATAAGCTAAAAATAAATACTAAGAAAACAGAACAGATTATATTTGACCCAAAGTGTATAGGTGACCATCGTCAAGTGGTTGTACACGACCATCCTGTCACTCAGTCAGAAACCTATAAGTGCTTAAGCATTTACATCGACAGTTTTTTCACATGGAAAACACACATTGAGTGGGTTTGTTCTCGTTTACACCAGAGATTGTATTTTTTACGTAGGTTACGTCTTTTTGGAGTTAACAAGAAGCTCATGATGTTGTTTTCTAAAACCGTTCTTGAAAGCATTGTTAGAGATTTGGTATCACAGTGTGGTTTGCCAACCTGGTTCAGTGTAAATCTAAGTTGATGCATCTCCTAAAGACAGAATGGAAAATTGTTGGGCATGATGAATATTTTAATCCTCAAGTTTTATATGAGAAATATGTCCTTAATCAGCTGGAAAGGATTGTGAATGATCCAACTCATTTTTTGTTTCCACATTATGAACTTCTTCCCTCTGGTAGAAGATACAGTCCCAAAGTGTAGGTTAAACCGTTATTAAAAAAATCCTTTGTTCCTGTTTCAGTGGGTTTATTACACATTGACGAATTTGCTCTTCAGTGTTTGGACTCTCAGTAATGATTTCAAACCACACTGAACTGAGCTAAACTGAACTGAACTTAAACACTAAAAACTGAACCACCCTGATCCAGTTATTATGACCATTTATGTGAAGCTGCTTTGACACAATCTACATTGTAAAAGCGCTACACAAATATAGCTGAATTGAATTTATTTAACAAGAGTCTATATCAATTAGCATTATACATTTTGTAACTGCTGTATTTTATATTATATTGTTATATTATTGTTTTTATGGAATGTCTGCAGCAATATGATGATGCCCATAACAAATTTCCTGTCAAGGACACTAATGGTTACGACTACTACACCACATCCCAAAGGAGCTCTTTTGGATCGAGAACTGGTGACTGAGGAGCCATTTGAGTGCAGTGAACTCATTGTCATGTTCAAAAACCCCGTCTAGGATGATTCATGCTTTATGACATGGTGTGTTATCCTGCTGGAAGTAGCCATCAGATGATGAGTACACTGTGGTCATAAAGGGATGGACATGGTCAGCAACAATACTCAGGGAGGCTGTGGTGCTGACACGATTATCAATTGGTACTAATGAGCCCAAAGTGTGCCAAGAAAATATCCCCCACACCATTACACCACCACCAGTAGCCTGAAGAGAGGCACCCAGAGTGGTCTTCTGCTGCTGTAGCCCATCCGCCTCAAGGTTGGATGTGTTGTGTGTTCAGAGATGCTCTTCTGCAGACTTCAGTTGTAACGAGTGCTTATTTGAGTTACTGTTGCCTTTCTATCAGTCTGGCCATTCTCCTCTGACCTCTGGCATTAAAAAGACATTTGCGCCCACTGTTTTATTTTATTTCTCACCTCAAAAGCATTTCCTTCTGCTGTTAATGAGGCGCGAAAAAGAGAGAGAAACCAGAAGGCGTTTAAACAACTCTCATCCGAAAATCTCTTCCAGACGAGACTTCTCCTGCAGACTGCAGCATATGACTACAGAAAAGTCCAATCAAAGAGCTCTGGGTCTGGGAGTCAGACAGAAGGAAGTCCATATGCTAAGTGGGATTTCAGCCCTTTTATGTCTAGAGCGGTGAGAGTTTCTCAGCTGATGCCCTTTGAGGTGCAATGTGTCTCGCAGAGGGAATTCAGCATCGACTGACCTAGATCTGACAGTGTGAGTCAGAAACAGAGGAAGAATGCCATGCTTGAAGCTTTAGATGAATGAAATATGCTCTATTTTATGACTTTGACTGCTTATGGAAATATAAAAAATGACTTTCTGCAGTGCTTAGAAATACTACTGATCTGAATGGTTGGAAAAGGAGAGCGAATATAGTCCTATTCCATCATCTAGTGCCATTACTGTACTGCCTGATTAGCTTTAGACTTCTGAAATATGCAACGCAATCATGTCAAATCATAACTATTTTAAGCAACATAGGCTCATTCTAAAAATGTATCCTTATATACGTTTCTAGAGATCCCAAATTATGTATGGCTGCATTTTGTTTTTTAAGAGTTTTTGATGCCGTTCCTTTCACGCTTACCAGCTGACTGATTACCTCCATATGGATGGCTTTCCCGCTGTTACCAGTTTGTCAAGTAGCTTACAATGTTTGTCGGCAGACTTGAGGTGTTGACCACAATAACTGGGTTTGAATCCAGTGAAGAACGATTCCAGAAAGCAGGTAAGACAAAAACAGAAGCCAAAAAATTTAATGAACAAGTATATAACAGGGTGAGAATGTGGCAAAACCTGAAAATGTGGTAAAAATCAGGCTGCCGGTGAGGGCTTTTCTTTTTCTGGATTGCTTTTTAAACTGTCGGTTAGGTTTAGGAAAGTGGGTGGTCGGGTCGATCTGTGCTTTTAAAAACACTATTTGTTGGGTTTAGGAAAGGAGGATGGTGGATCAGTCAGTCAGTCAGTCAATCAATCAATCAGTCGACAGCGGTGGATTTATGTGAGGACAGCAGATGCGAATGGCACTCACAAAAGAAATTTGAAATCTCAAAAAGCGTACACAGAGGTGGATTCACGAAAACAAAAACTGCCAAAATCATAGCTCCTAATATATTTGGCGTTCTCCAGAAATGTATATAGGGCTACATTTTCAGAATGAGCCTGGGTTGATTAAGTTTAAGTGAATCGAGGTGATTGGTAAAACCGTATTGTAGGTTTTCAAAGATTTGTTTATGCCAACTTACGGTTCAATTAGCTTTAGCTACGGGATTGGGGTTTACCTTTCATGTTTACATGTGTGTCTAAAAACCAAAAGTAGTCTGTATAAATCATATTTTATGAATTTATCTCCTACAAAAATATATATGGAAAACCATAGCTATAAGCCCTGAACGGCTTAGCTCCCTAGTATTTGAGGGAGCTCCTGGTGTATTAAAGCCCCTCATGTCTACTACGCTCTATTAATTCTGGACAATTGATTATTCCCAGAATATCAAAATCAACTGCAGGCGGTAGATCTTTCTCATATCTGGCACCTAAACTCTGGAACAGCCTTCCGAGCACAGTTCGGGAAGCAGATTAAACCTAGATTAAAGACACATCTCTTTGCATTAGCATGCACATAAAACACAAATGCTTTTGAAATCCAAATCCTCTAGTGTGCATTATATAGGGCAACCAGAGCCTGGAACACTTCCCAAAAGACAATATAGTTTGAACTGCATCTGTGCTCATGTTAGTCTGTTTTTATTATTACAGAGGTTTCCATAATCCTGGACCAGGCCGTATCCTGAGCAGCTGCTGTGGTGGTCACAAAGGAGTGGAGAGCATGAGATTCCTCCAAGACCCCAGTCACAGACGAGTCTTCGCATTGTCATCCTGACTTTGCATTCGCTGTAAGAACTCATTAAGCTGCATTCCTCCTCCTGACCAGAAGAAGGTGCTCCTGTCTCCTTGCACGAC